GGATCATCACCTCGGCCCCTCCTGCCCCGCTCCGGTCCCGGTTCACCACCCCCCCTCCCCCGATCTATCCCCGGCTCCTTCCGCCTCCTCCTGTCCCCGTAGCGGTGCGAGTGCCTGGCGAGGGCTCGGGGCTGTGACCCGCCTCCCCCCTACTCTGGGGGCTTCCAAGGCGGAAGGACTTAGTGGCTACAAGGTTTTCATGTGGTTTTTAAAAAACTCTTTGGATAATGTGAATTTTTCCTGAAATACGCTATTAAAGCCTTATTTTAGCAACAGCACTTCAGAAATGCCCGGTATTTGGTTCCCAGAGGAAAGAGAAGCCTCTTGAAACTTGCCAATGGTTATTTTCAAGTTGGTTTTTTTTTTTCTTCCCCTGCATGAAGGGTGAAAGTCACTGGTATAACTAGGTGATGGTGTTTTCAGTATTGTTAACTTGGGTTCTTACATAGCCTCAGCTTGGTGGGAGTCCCGTTCAGTGAACTACTGTACAGGTGGTACTGTGCTGTGTATCACATTTTAGAACTGGCAATCCCGAGGCAGGAAGGAGAACACAAAACGAATCAAGCTGTTGTTTAGATTTTATTTGGGTTTTTTGCAGACTTGAGAAAGATGGTTTTCAAGTTTTATTTGACATTTATAGTAGAAGAAAAACAGGAAGGAAATAGGTGGTACAGCTTTTGGGGCAGGAAGCAGAGAAGAGAGGGTTAAAGGAAATGTGCACAGGGAGAAGTGTGGTGTGACTGCATCACACAAGTTGAGGAGCAGAGGAGGGAAAAGTAAAAAATAACCTACAGCAAGACAGCAGGTGAGAAGAGAGCAAAGGGAGGAGGTTACAAAATGCAGCAGGTGTTTTGTTCTGTTTTTTTACATTTGTTCTATTTTTTAATGTTTTTTTATTATTATTGCTTTGGTTAAGGGTTCCAGGGCAAGTCTCTGCTCACATGAGAAATGATGCTGAGGAGGTCCTGAGTTGCTCCTTTGCCTGCTGTGCCACGGGTATTGGCAGCTCCGGGATGGGGAGCAGGGGTTCTTCCTCCCTACTTCCCATTTTCTCGACCTTTTGTTGAATTCTTATAGAATTGCTAAGAGTGATAATTCCTTTTTTAAAAAAATGACATTGCAATGCTTCACCAATTTAATTTGAGGAGCCCTTCATCATATGATCCAGGTGCTATAAGAAGAGCATTGAAATTAACCCCACCTGTGTAAATGAGAGTGGTGGATGTATTGTTCAATAATGTCCCTTGAGTGTGGTACTGGGATTAACAGATTGAGCCACTTTTGAGATTTGCATTTGTATGAACACTTTTCTGGAAGGGGTTGGGGGAAGAAGCGGGTAATTTTTTGCTTTCTGCAAAAAAAGCTTTGGGAATATTTTATGTCTCAACCTATCTTGAACGTTTAGAAAAGGGGTCTGTGGTTTTTTGCTTTCCAGAATTGAATGTAGGGATCTAAAGATGATCTTAAACACTTTCCATGTGGTTCAGACAACCGAATGCTTTTGCATCTTTTTTTTCTCATCTGAATTTAAGGATTGCAGGATTTTGCTGCTGTTAGGAAAGTGATAGAGTTATTTTGGATCATTTTGTATTTTAATAGTGAGAAAATGTCCTTTTACTTACCATTTGCAGACTTTGCAGTACTGATCCAAGCTTTTCCTGTAGCACAGTAGTACAGGATAAACGGACAGCCTGTCCACCAGATACAAAGACTGAAGCTCTGGAGAGATTGATGATTTTTGGGGGTGATGTTAAACAGTTCTGTAATCTTCTGAGTACAGTTCTCCAGGAATGCTAACAGAGATCTGTGTGGGTTATAAGGTTTTATAACAAGATTCCTTGGTCTGATTCTTCCATCACTTTCTATGCAAGTAAATAGAGTTATACTGTAGAACACAGTTGGCACAGAACCAAATTCCACAGCTGGAGCACATTTTCTCTTTCACGTTTTTGACTAACCTTGCTTTGTCCCCAACACAATGTTTACCTATCATATCTCTGCACTGGGTTTAAGTATCTCAATTCCAGCAGAACCACCACCCCCAGGAGTGTGTGACTGTCACCTCAGACACCAGTCCCTCCTCAGTGAGGACACTGAGTTTTGAGAAGGGTACTATAAATACTTGAGTCTGCAGAAAGATGTGGAAGTAAATGGAATGACTGGAGCTAGGGAAAAATAGTTTGGCAGTTCCACATGAATGAAATGCTGATGTGTAAGACTGATTGTCCCCTGCACAAGACTGACAGCAAATCCTAAGTAGTGGGCTGCTATAAAGATGCTGACAAATTTCAGGAATTAAAGCAAAGAAAATGAGACTCAGACATTCATTGTAACACAAGAAATTATTTTAAAAGTTAAGTGCAGTGTGTTTTGGTTCAATGCTGTGTTTGGAGGCCATACAGGGACAGCTGACAGCTGTGGGGTGGCACAGGTAGAAACAGTAAATATGAATAGAGAGAAAAACCTTATCAAAGGAGGAACTGCAGCATTTCCTAGCAGAGGGAAAATGAAAAAAGACTTAGTATTTTGGAGGGCAAAGGGGGTTGGGCACAGGGCAAGGCAAAGTCTTCTCATGTTGAGATGAACTGAGTGACATAAATGGAGATGTGGGAAAGGAGTGCTCACTGCCCCTTCTGAGATCTGTTACTGCTTAGGGTCTTTTGAAACTCCTTCAGTGAGTCTTGACTTTTCCCCCTAAGTGTTAATAGAGATATGCTGTACTTTTTGTTAGTCCCTCTTCAGAGGAACCAGTAGGACAAGCTCTATTGACTCAGTGTTGTACTGTTTTTAGAGATGTGTCTTGCATGTGAAACGTCAGTGTTTTAAGATGACCTGCAGTATCTAAATACAGGCCTGTTACTGCCACTGCAAGGCACAAAAATAGGTTTTGTTAAGGCGTGTTTCAGAGCAGCCTGCTTACTGCAAAATGCATCTCCTTTGGCTCAAATGATTGGAATTACATAAATAACGACCTTGTACAGGCATGTGAGCCTTTCCTGTGACTTCTGAGAAAAGACAAATGCTACAAATTTGTCATATGTATTGCCTTTCCTAAAGATGTTTGTGGTGGTTAAAATGACAAGGCAACTGTCAAGCTTATTTTGTAAAAAGTGCTGCATGTAACCAATATTCAGCTTTTCCTGGAAGAACTGAGCTACAGTGCAAGGGGCTTTCTGAAGATTGATAGAGGCTTTTCCTCAGTCCACCTCACAAGGTTACCAGGTTAATGATTAATTAAGGAGAAAGTGTTTATATCAGTCAGTGCTACTGGCAAGGAATATTGTTCAGGTGTATCAATAACTTTATTTGTAGCCTGCCCTTTGCAATTGTTTCATGTTGATCCTCTCCCTTCTCAATCCTCCAGGCTTTGGAGGTTGTTTTTTTTTGTGTGTGTGTTTGTGTATGTTTTGTTGTTGTTGTTTTTCTTTATACAAGCATTAGCCACACTTTTGGTAGAATCAAATACTATTTCAAAGATTTTATTCTCATGATCAAGAGACTGTAGCTTAATTTTTTTTTAAACACTTGTTTATGGCAGATTTAGAACAACATAAACTACAATTGTCAGAAAAGACTGATGCTGTCCACCAGCAGAAAGAGGATTACTGGTGATTTCATTGGTTTTAGTACAGAGATTGAAAGCAACTTAAATATAAGTGATAGAGATCAAAATCTCTCAAACTGGTTTGGATGAGAAAGCAGTTGCATAGAGTGGAAGCTGATTGAGAGGTCCAAAACAAAGGCAGTGTGTTTCCTGAAAAAAAAACTGTTTAAGGAAATGAATCTAGTGCCAAATGCCATTTATTTTAACACCTCTTAGGGCAGAGCCCTTACCTATGCAGTGCAGAGTGTTGAAATTCATAAATTACACTACAGAAGTTTACTGCAGGGACATGTAATCCCAAACTCCCAATACTGCAGTTTCTCTGATAGCTTTTCTCATAGGAAGGTGCAGACTTCCTGGGCATGGTCAAGACGTGATCATGGTCAATATGAGGGAGAGGTTAGAAACAGGAATTTCAAGGCCTAAATCTGACTTCTAACAAGACACAAGTTTGCATTGGCAATGAGGCAATTGGTGCAGTTTTGAATTCTGTGCACAAAAACTGTATACTGTGGCTTTTGTCACCACTGTCACCAGAAATAAAAGCAAACTGAAGGGAAATAGGAGTGCCTTCCCTACAGCAGACTACAACAATTTTTCACAATTTTCCCATTAAAGAGTTTAACTAAAGTGTTTTGGTTACTTATCTTTAGTACTGCAGCTTGGACAGCTGTAGTTGAGTGCCTTGAACAAGTGAATTGGGGGACTTACTAAATTTTACTCATTTATTCTTTTTAGCTTTGCTTATAAAGGTGATGCTCTATCTGTTGGAGGTTTTTTGTTTATTTTTAGAACTTGTCTACCCTTGGATTTCAGGACTAAGGCTGAAAGGCTGCGAGTTGTCACTGTTTTAGTCTAAAACTGCAACAAACTTCTTAGTAATGGTGATTTAGGGCTTGCAGTGGCTTTGCATCACAGCTGTAGTGGACAGATGTTAAATGCGGAGATTAAGTCATCCCCTTGCCCGTTCTCTGACAAGGGCAACATTGGTAATGCAAAGTTACAAGTGACTAATGGGGTAGTGATACATTAAATAAACGTAGCTCCAAAGCTGATAGAGTAAAATCTGTTGTGGAACTTCTGCTGAGAACTAAATTATTTCAATCTGGTTTTAGGTGTCTTTGTATCCAGCGTTGTTCTGGTTTTACAACAGCGAGCACTTTTCAAGTTCTACATGATCGCCTCAGCGTTTCTGCTAGCTGCAACTTCAGTGTTGGTGAATTATTATGCTGCTTTGCACATAAACTTCTACAGTGCCTACTACACAGCTGCATTTGGAATTCAGATCTTCCCACATAAAGGACCTTCGCTATGGATGGCACTTTCCATCCTTCAGCTTACCTTTGGAATTGGATATGTTACACTGCTAAACATGCAGTCCATATACTCTCAACTCATCATCCTGGATATACTGATTCCTGTAATTGGCTTGGTTGTTGAATTACCTTTAAATGTCCGGCAAGTACTTGTTTTTATTTCAGGCCTAGTTCTGACACTAAATACCACAGCCATTTTAGTTACAAAAATGAAGTGGTTCTATTATTCGGTACGTTATGTCTATCTGCTGGTGAGGCACATGTATCGTATTTATGGATTACAGCTATTGATGGAAGATACATGGAAAAGGATTCGTTTTCCAGCTGTACTGCGTGTCTTTTGGCTAACAAGACTTACAGCACAAGCTGTGGTATTAACATATGTTGTAAAGATGGCTGAAACCAACACGGAAGAAAAATTCTTCTTGATTTCATGGGATAGCTGTTGGGAACTGATTTGCAGCCTGATCATAAGTGGGTGTGACTCTACTTTAACCGTATTGGGCATGAGTGCCGTCATTTCCTCAATAGCGCATTATTTGGGACTTGGTATCCTGGCCTTCATTGGATCAACTGACGAGGATGACAAAAGGCTTGGGTTTGTAGCACCTGTCTTGTTTTTCATTCTGGCTCTGCAGACTGGTTTAAGTGGACTGAAACCAGAGGAACGATTAGTTCGCCTGAGTCGAAACATGTGCCTTTTGTTGACCGCAGTCCTGCATTTTATCCATGGAATGACAGACCCCGTGCTGATGTCTCTGAGTGCCTCCCATGTGTCATCGTTCCGCAGACACTTCCCTGTACTGTTTGTCTCCGCTTGCCTTTTCATTCTTCCAGTTCTGCTCAGTTACATCCTCTGGCACCACTATGCACTAAATACTTGGCTTTTTGCAGTCACAGCATTCTGTGTAGAGCTTTGCCTAAAAGTAATAGTTTCTATCACTGTATATATATTGTTTATGATTGATGGCTACTATAATGTGCTATGGGAAAAACTTGATGATTATGTCTATTATGTTCGCTCAACTGGCAATATTATTGAGTTTATATTTGGAGTAATCATGTTTGGAAATGGAGCTTACACAATGGTTTTTGAATCGGGAAGCAAGATTCGTGCTTGCATGATGTGTCTCCACGCATACTTCAACATCTACCTGCAAGCCAAGAATGGCTGGAAGACTTTTATAAACCGCCGAACTGCTGTGAAGAAAATCAACTCACTTCCAGAGGTAAAAGGAGCTCGGTTACATGAAATTGATGATGTCTGTGCAATCTGCTACCACGAGTTCACCACCTCTGCGCGAATTACTCCATGCAACCATTATTTTCACGCACTTTGTCTTCGGAAGTGGCTGTACATTCAGGACACGTGCCCGATGTGCCATCAGAAAGTGTATATTGAGGACAAAGAAAATGCCAATATATCTAACAACAATGGGTTTGTAGCACCAAACGAAAATCCTGTACGGGTTGCAGAAGAAGCTGCTGATGCTGAAAATGAATTAAATGAAGATAATGACAGTTCTGATAGTGATGACGAAGATGGTGACTGTGTGGCACAGCACTTGAATGAGACTCTTAATGTTGATTCTAACTCTCTTGGTGATTAGGATGTCCTTTACTAAGCCGTGAGGTATTTGTTCAAGATTGACTTCAACAGAATAAAAGTATCACTTTGTAGTTATTGTACTTAAGCACAACAGCAGTATCTCAATGTTGAGTCTGTGAATGGTGGTTGTTTACTGTGGTGTGTGCTACTGTAAATATACCTCTAATTTTTGCTGGTCTTTTTCATGACCACCTTAAAATTATGTACATTATTGTACATGGAATAAAATGTTTTCACGTTTTTAAGATGGTTGGAAAAACACTCTTTAATTGATGTAGTGATAATGCTGTGCCAAAGACTGTATACCAGTAATCCCCAATCAATGTCTTCTTGATGCAAATGAAAAATACTGGTGAAAACAGACTGTTCAGCTGGTCAACTGAAATGAAAGCCTGAGCCAAAGCAGCTTTACTTACAAATTCAGTATTAGCAGAGCTTTATCGCAAAAAAACTAGTGAGTCATGTTTTTAAAAAATAAATAAAAATTTAGGTTGGTAGACTTAATGCTATAGCATTTGCGTATATGGAACAAAAGGCGACACTGCTCAGCTTTCTGATGAAGCAGCAAAGCGCATGCCATGGATGTGACCGGACCTCCTGAACTGCCGGCACTAGCTTGAAGTGCTTTACATGTGAATGCAGCAGCCTGGTGCTCATCCTGTGGCTCCACTGCTAACTGGAGTTACAGGCATGGGATGGCCTTGAAGTCAATCCTGAATCTTGATAAAAGGGGAACAGGGCTGAGAAACTGCACAAATGCAGACCACCTTTTCAAAAGCAGCTTTAATCTTGTACCATAAAAAACCCCAAACCCAGTACATATTGGCTTCCATTGATTAGAACTTGCAGGTATGATGACTTTTAAGTTTTTGCAATATATTTACTGAAGTCATGCTGAATAAATGTAAGAAAAACAACTTTACATATTTGGAAAGAAGACTTTAATGGTGTTGTTATATAGAGTATTGGCCAACTCAAGTGGGTCATCGTCTCTTACTGCCGCCATTATTTCCAGTATTTGACTAAAAAAAGAAAGATTTATATTAGAAGACTGCAACCCAGTACTTCAGAATGTACTTCAAATTGCTGCATGTGTATGTACAAGTCACTAAGATTAAGCTGGAATAAAAACCTACACTAAGAGCAATAGGGCAGGGTGCTCAGATATGCAAATAGCTTCACTTTTAAGTTACTAACTGCCATTTCCTTTACACTGAACACTGGTTTGCTCACTGGTACAGATTCATCTTTGGTCTTTTGACTCTTGTTTGGAGGTAATTAAACAGCTTTCTGTTTTGAAGGAAGTGTCATTTTGTGGGTGTTTTTATCAATGATCTTCATTTTTCAAACAAAAACTCATCAGCCTGTCAAAGCTAAAGCTGCACTATGACTAGACTGGTCTATGGTAAAGCTTAAATTCCAGATACAGATTTATCAGAGCACAGTGCTGCCAAAGTAATTTAGTCCTACTTCCCCATTCTTTAGCTTAATTGTGATTAATGTAGTCAGGTATTTGCAGTAAATATTAAATGAGCAATTGCAAAAGGCCCAGGGCCTTCATACAAGCCAGGAAGAGAAGGGAAAAGAAATGGGATGAACATGATTAAAACCAAGCCACAACCTTTTCTCTGCAATTGCTTTCTTGATTTTGTATCAGTCATTCTTAAAAACAAAACAACAAAAAAAGGAGTACTATCCTGTACCCTTCCTGATATGTGTCATACTTTGATTTTTCCAGTAGCAGCAAAAAACTTCAAACTTCATTGTGAAGAGTAAGAAGCTTAAGCTTGGGTGGTAGGTAGGCTTTGGATTTCGCCTCTAAGCTGAGGCAATAGCTAAACTTATTTTGGTGAAAAGAGAGAGTAGGAAAAGTTGCTCTTAATAATTTTTTTCAAATATTTTCCTATAAGAGATTTAGCCAAATAGCTTCTTGATTTAAGAGGATAATCCAAATGAGATGGAGTGAGATCAGGCCTACACAGAAATAAGTAAAAAATTCCAAAGAATTTCATCCAAGACAACTTAGGCCTTTATCTCTTCTCACTTGGATGCAGAAGGCTGTATGTTATTGTAACACTGTGTGTGTAAAACTGCTGGAGGAGAAAGGAGAAGTCTCTTGTGGCTGAATTTTTTTAAAAAAAAGCTTCCAAGGGGAGTAGTTCTAAATATATATATGAAGCAGAAATATCACCATCAAAACGGAAAGGTGTCCAGCACCACCAAAACCAGACAAATGGAAAATTCCTCCTGCCAACTGAGCTGTATTAAACAGTATATATACCTTACACATTAAGAACACTGTGGACTGACTAACATTCCCTCACACCAGATTTTATCAGTTACCATTCTTCATTTTTCTTAAGGATTAAGAGGTTCTTGAAATTCAACTGGTTATAATGAACATTACTGGGATAATAATTTCAAAATAAGGTTGAACCAAATTTTTTTTTCATAAAAAAGAGCAACAGCCAAAGAACAGCATTTGTGTAATGATCTTGAGTGCATTTGTGCGCTGTGCATCTGTGCAGGACAGGCCATGCATTTCAAGTTTGGAGGTTTCTGAAACATTTCTGTAAACCACAACTAAGGCAGCAGACAAATATGAGGGGGTGTTGTTGACATAAGGGCTGGTTGAAATAGTAACAGTAGAGGCCCTTTACTTGTCATCAGGGGTGTTTCCAGTTGATGTCTTCCCCCAGTCCCAAATCATGCACTGACCCTAGAAAGTCTTAAAATACTGAAGAAACCCTTCCATGCTAATGTGTCCTCTTCACATTTAAAATGCAAAAAAAAAACCCCTACAAACCAAATATTACAATTAACCTAATTGCATTAAATGTATCTGAACACTAGGAGACGTCATCATGTAAGCTTAAACTGTGCTTTTACATCATCCGTGGTTTTCCAAGTTCCTTCATGTCTCAAAAAGCAGCAGAATTTTCTTCACTTATAAAAAATTCTTGTTTATTCACCTTGCTACATACCTGGATCTTTAGAACTATCCTGAGCAATATTTCAAAATCTAGACAGGGAATTCTGAAAATTCAGCATCTACTTTCATCTATTAATCATATATTAATGGTATTTAATGCAGATAACTAAACATTTTCACTAAAACAATTACATTTTCCTGCTTTTCATACTTCTGTGAGGAACTGTGTGGAAAGAAGCAGAAAACAGTGTCTGTGCTTACCAGTTCTGTCTGTAAGCCCCTGGAGTTATCTTTCACTACTCTGTATTTTGGCTGCTGTCATTCATATCTAAATTTCACAGGATCAGGTTCTTTTGAAGCACAACAGCAGAAGGAAGAAACATCCCTGACAAAATGCATGTTGTGGCAGTTCATGTCACAGGCCTGTGACAGGAGCAGTGTCAGGCACTGCTGGTGCCTCAGCACCGTCCCACCTGTGGGACTGTCCCCTGACCCCCAGGGCTGGATCAGTTTTAAAAATTACCTGAACAACAAGTGAGTGAAATGAATATTCAAGTTCAGGTTCCTTTTGAGGGTTTAGCCTCTTCTACAATGTATCAAATGGAAAAATAAAAACTACTGGTTTCACTTTCAGGGAGCATTTTACATCCAGAATTGCTTAAGTAGGAAAATTAAGACTTACAGTTTTTTCCACAGCCTATAAAGCAAAACCTTGCACACATTTCAGTACATTTAGAATTATTTTATATTTTCTCCATCACTAGTGAACTATTGATTTTTCTATTTTTTTTTTTTCATGTCAGAGTTGAAGTATTTAAAATAAGAGTACAGTGGTACACTTACATTATATGGCAGGGTTCATTTCTGTCCTTCAAGCAGTGCCCTTTTTCCCATTTCTTTTTTGTAGGAAATGTAGTTTTAATGTATTTTGATCCAGCGTGAGTATTTTTCACTCCGCACCAAGGTGCATCTAATTTAATTTGAATAAAAGGATTAGGAGTGCAATTGTTTGAGAACAGCATGAGATAATTTCATCAACTACTTCTACAGACAAAAGTTCCTGCAATCTCTTTCTAGCAGCAACCTCCAACTCAAAAGGAAATGTAAGAAATCTATGAAATTTAACATTTTGGATTTTTATACCATTATCTTCAGAATTTTATACTTGAAAAAATCAGCAGTAATAATACATTACACTAATTTCCTCTGACATAAAAACAGCCAGATACACTGCATGCATTCCAAAGAAACTTCCTGTATGACAGGTCTGTACTTCATGTTCAAATAAATTTAAGGATTTAGCAGTTTGCAATTTTCCTTTTTCAGAGTCAGAAATTAAAATAATTACTGTATTTTTAACTGTCAGTTATTAAAAACTGAATGTGAAAAAAGAAAACATGACATCCCTAGTTAGTCCATTAAAACGACTGCTTAGTGGGCTAAGGGGAATTCAAGCATTCATCACGTATTCCGTTTAAAGAGCAGTTGTTTCCAAATGCCATTACTGCTGCCAGTGCCTAACACAGAGCCACTGCCCTGTGCTTGGCAAATCTCCAGCAAGCTGCATCTTAAAAGATACTCAAGCAGGTTTCTGGTACATTTAAAAATCCGAGTTGTCAATTTGTCCTTTTTATCTTCCCCTGCAATGTCAGGAACTGACACAGCAGCTTATTCCTTCCAGCAGAAGACTGGAAAGGAGTAAGTTTGTAAACTGCTTTCTCAAGTAGAGAAAATGGCCATTGTTCTGAATTCTTTCAGTCTTAATTCTGCTTTATGATTGCTACACCAGTATATCTCATTGCCCCTTGCCACAAACTGACCAAGATATAAAATCTTACCAGTCTCTATCATTAATCGTTCACTAGGAATTGATTTCAGTGTTTCCAAGTTGGCTTCTGTTTTCAGTGAACTAGAAAATTGAGAGTTTGGTTAAAAAAAAGTCCATAAAAAGCATAGAAAAGTAATTACTGTGCCTGTTAAAGTGTTTTGTAGCAAAAGCAGCTTCCTAAATAATTTTGTTCATAAATAAAATTTGCTTTATTTTTAAACAATATGCCTGTAAATTAACACTGTGCAGAAAACAGCAAATTTAGATTTAGTGGGAGAAGCCATCTCACCCCAGTAAGCTGCAGAACCCCTCTGGCTGCCCTTGCTTGCCTGGTGACAGCTTCTGTGCCTTACAAAGTGCTGCTGGCTGGCATTTGGCCAGGTGACTGCTGAGAACCCAAACTGCATAACCAGGAGATGAGGGACTCGGGTTACATTTGCATTACTCCAGCATTTGACAAGCAGCTTAAAGTCAGGCTGCTTTTTAAATGCTCCTCAGGAT